CCAGCCAGCTGGCCACAACTGCAAATTACAGCCAACCCTGATGGACAGGGTAGCAAGAAGGGAGAGTCCAGTCCTCCTGACACACCATAAACTCATCAGTGTCCAAATTCTTCTCCACTGCCAACTTACACCTTGTACCTGCTAGTCTGTCACTGGAAAAACTCTTCTTGTAGAGAAAGCCAGGAGTGTCTGGACTGCTGCACAGGGCACTGAGCTATTTCCAAACACACAGCAAAAACTAAGTATGTACATCTGCCCAAAGACATGTGTTGGCATCATGCCCTTTCTGAGGCAGCTGAACAGACTGGTCATTTCCTAACAGCACCAAGGACCAGCCCCCCCATGTCACCATCCCTCAAGGATTCCAGTTTATCAGGCATTGGCTTTTACAGTGACGTGATATGCCTTCATGCCAATGCCTGAAGCTACTGTCAAAGACTTTTCTGCACACCACTTTGCTCCTTATATAGAGAAAGCTTGAATAGGACCAAATATATTTCTATACTGGCCAGCAACATCCCCCCAGAATATTCCTGTGCCTTCAGAAGGCAGGGGAAAAAATAATCCACTTCTTATATTTTGGAGCTATGGTGTTAAATACACACTGAACTGCAGCAGTAAACAGGCTTGTCTGTCTTCTGAGATTGAATAAATTTATGGGATGAATAAATGTGCAGAAACTTCTGGAAATACAGGGCACAGTGGCCTGCTTAGAGTTTGGAACACATGTAATTTTTCTGACTGCTACAGGAAAAGGCATCTGACTCATCATTCAAGTCAGACATCAAGCAAGGTGGGAGACTAGTGAAATTATGTGCCTTCAGAGGAAAACATGAAGAAAATGGAGTAATTTGGTCTTCAAGGGCATAACTTGAATATAGCAACATAATTATTTTCAAATACTTCAAAGTGTTCCCAAAGCAAGTAATTTCTCACAGCAGTAGCAGTGTTTACTTGTTCAACCTTCTTTCACTAGCACAGAGGTGAGGTTTGCAAGTCTCCGAAGAACTGCAGTGCTTTACATATTAATCAAGGCAATTAGCCTGTGATGACTGAATACTGCAGCATTTAGTATCTCTTTGTGGAAAGTTACAGTTGTGCCCTGCATACAATCAGCTGACCACCAAAAGTTTTGTGTTCTCTACTAGAAACATGATTATTTCCAATACTATCTCTTAAAACCAGTTCTTCTAGAAAAAAATATGTTTTAAAAGGATATTTTCAAGAAAGGAAGGTATGGAGTATACTGCATGTATGGAGTACTATGTAGCACAGAGTAATATGGACTATTACTTAGCCTACGTTCAGCCTAGTTGCCTGAAGATCCATGTAAACACTCCTCATTTCTAAAACAGTCTGGGTTCTAAAACAGATTAATGGGAGAGGACAGCAGCAGGAAGGATTGTATGTTCCAAGACATTTATCCTTTCTGCTGTGGAACCTTGTATTACCTTAAGTCATTGTGATAACTGTTGTCAGTTAATAACTGCTCCAAGAAAAGTTAACTAAAACAAACCCCATAAAGCAGAAAAATAACCATTGTTCAAGCTGTCACTCATTTAACTGCAAATTCCAGCTTTGGCCCTCCTATTGAAACAGGAATCTGGAAATGTTTGAAAGGAAAAACCCCAAACCCATCAGTAGTAGCTAGGTTGAGAAATCACTACAAAGAATGCTTTTCTCTGTTTGTACGCCATTCAATACATTTCCAGTAGATGCCAAGATGACCACCCATGTGCATTACCTATCTTACTGTCCAAACTGAAGATAGCTAAAAAAGGGAAAGAATTAAGTGGCCCTGTAGGGAAGTAGTAAGCGGTGACTTTCACTGCATCAGATAAGAACAGCAGCACCACAGGGAGCTTCTTATGGTTCTAAAAGACACCTGTGAGTGAGAATGAGGCTTGTACATTCCCATTCATGAAGCAGTACCACAAACAGAGATGCAACAGCCAAAAAGCCAACCGTTACCTAAGCAACCACTTCCAGCTTGACTGTAAAAAGGGGAAAAAATAAAGCAAAGGAAAATAAAAAAGGAGGGCACTGTTGAGCACAGCAATAACAGAGAAGGCACTCAGAGCATACTGCACAGCAGCTACCATCAATTCCTGGATTTTTTTTTCCTGTATTTGTCATGTAACCACTTCTGCTTCTGCAGAAAATAAATCAGTGAGAAAGAGCACCTGAATCCATCAATTCTTATTTAATGGAATCAGCCTGAAAAGCTTGCTAACCTCTTAGGCCAAGAATAACAGTAAAATACAGAGATTAAAAGCAGTTAAGGGAAGGACTTCAGGTGTTTTACCTTTCCCTTCTTTCCCATAAGCAAGGGCTGGTGGAATAGTTAGCTTCCGCTTCTCTCCCACACACATGTCCTTCAAACCTTTGTCCCAGCCTTTGATAGCTTCCCTTATGCCAAGTGTAAACCACATAGGTTGACCATTGTTATGCTTGTGACTGGAAAAGAACAGAATAAAACACTTAAGTCTTTAGACAGCAAGTTCCATAAGAGGTATGTGGAGCACATGGAATATGATCAGAGCATTGATACATAATGAAAAACACATCACTATTTGGCACCTTGGCATTTCTTATATGAAAAACACAGACTTTTAAAGTCTTCAAACCCACAGCTTGCAAGACAAGCTTGCTTAAGAACTAGGAAGAAATAAAACAACATCTACGTGGTATTTTTATGACAACACTAAGCAACCCGAATACCCACCTTCACTTTCCTGATCACCTATTTCCACTTTGAAACTGATCAGATGAGAAACGCATTTCTACTTCAAAATCTACATTCAAGACCATGCATATTTGGTAGACTGCAAATCAAAACCCAGTTTGGTCATGACTACAATATACCTTATAACATGCTTAGAAGAACTGGCCACATCTCTTCCAAAAAAGCCATTGGGAAATAAAAAACAAGCTACATGACAGATTGTCTAGAAAAATAGAAACAAATGCATGCAAGACATTCAAGTTTAAAAAAGACAGACAAGGCCCTTTCCCAGTTTAACCAGAGAGTACACCAGGACTACTTTACACAGTTTTAAAAGATCAATTTACTACTTATGTAGGAAAAGTACTTAACAAGAAAACAGCACTTACAGAAGTTAGTCAGCAGCAAAAACTTAAAAGAGTGCCACTATAGCTCCTTTTAGAGAGGCAGGTTAACTACAAGAGAAAATTAGTGAGATTTTAGTTTAATGGCCTGCAAGAGCCTAAACATGCAAAACCACTGTCTTTTTCAATACGTTCCATGCAAGTAGATTTCAGACATGGCCTACAGACACTTGAGCATTTTGCTGTCTCCCGCTATTAACACTTCGTCGATGTTTTACAGGAAAAGAGCCATCAGCAAGCAGTTGCAGGCTCTTAGCACTCCCTCGACTTTCTGGTTTTGCCTCCTACTTGTATTACTGTGGCTCTGGTATGTTGATTTCTCTGGTCGGCGGCCGGTGAAGAATCCGCCGTTTCAGTAAATGAAAAGCTGTCATTGTGCTGCCAGTAATGGACATACATATATATACTTGTTTGGTTTTGGGGTTTTTTTTGTTTTGTTTTGTTTTTTTTTAATTAGAAGCACGCTTCTCCCCTAGAAGTTTTCTTTAGAAACTAGACAGAAATTCGTGCACGGAAGAATGCTTATTAAACTACCGGTATCATATACCGAATCCTGTGTCTAAGTTCCAGCAGAGAATGCTTCATATCTCCCCCTTTTAACAAATGCCACATGGCTCTGCTTTCTACGGACTAACCAGAAAACAAAGGCTAAACAAGGCCTCTCTTATAGCCTCGCTCTGGCAAAGGGGAAGGAGGTAAGTTTTACTATTGGTGCTCTTCTTAAACAGCACTGCGATCCAGCGATTCCTAAACTCCCAAAGCATAAAGGTAAACCAAACTTTCTGAGAACAGCTGGTGGTGGCAAGGGTCCCACTGACAAGTCTGTGTAGCGTTATTTAAGCTACTTCAATTCAATCGCAAATAAACTCCAGGGCATGCCATTAACACACACCCACTGCTTTTGCTTTCTTGCACACAGGTAAACGCAAATTTTGGGACGAAGATGTAACTGTGTAAATAAAAGTCCACCGTCCTCAACAAAGCACTCCTTACAGAGCTATGAGGGATGGACTGCTGTGAGGGGTGCGGAGCCAGGCTGCCAGAAGAGATCACCTACATGAAAATAAAGGTATGTATCGAGAGGTATAGCGGTGTTTCCCCGCTGAAACTCACCCAACAGCCCACTCTAAGGCGGGACGCAAGGGCGAGCTACTTACGTGGAGTGAAACATGGAGCCATCCCTCTCCAAGAAGCCCTCGTAGTGAACCAGCATCATGTCCCCCCACTTGGTCCTCCTGTGGCAGATGAACGGCTTCTGCAGCACCTCCACCTTCACGTCAGCCGCGGGGATCAGCGCCGCGGCCGCGCAGCCCAGCACCGCGCCGAGCAGTACGGCCCGCAGCAGCGCCGCCATCGCCGCTCCGCAGCCAGGGCCCACCTCAGCGCCGCGGGGCCGTCATCCCGCACCCCTCCCCTGGGAGGCAGCGGCCAGGGTAGGTGCACGACCCCGCTCGCCGGTCCCGCAGACGTGGCAGCGGCCTTCGCAGGGAACACCCCCAGCTTCCGACGGCCGGGGTGAACCCTCTGATTGGCTCGCCTCAGAGTGAGCCCAGCAGAAGCAGCCGTCCATTGGGGCACGCCCCACTTCGTCCCTCAGCTTGTCCAATCAGCGGCAGCGCTCCGTGGGAGTGTGCGGGCCTTCGGGCTCCAGGAAGCGAACAGTAGAGAGCGGGGGAGCCCAGCGGACCGCTCGCACAAAAGAGCCGGCTCCTGCCGGGCGCCGATTGGGCGGTGCTCTCACCGGCGGCGAGTTTTGATTGGCTGAGGAAGGCCACCTGCTTTGGGCGGTCTGCTCCTGCTCCCCTCCTTTCCTCTGTCTGTCACATGAGTTGCGATTCCTGGAACTGCTTGCGTTTGCGTAGCGCTGTGGGGTCGTTCTGTGTGTGCGCGGCTGCGCTAGAAGCGTGGCGGCGGTGGGCCGGCTCGGCGGTAGGGGCCGGGCCGGCTCTTGCAGGCGGGCGGCGCCCCGCTATGGCCCTGTGTGCCGGCGGCGCGGTGGGGCGCGGGCGGCGGCGGGCGGCGTGACTCCGCCGGGGGGCGGCCGCGCCGCATGGGGACGGGAGCCGGCCGTCATGGAGGGGGTGCTGTACAAGTGGACCAACTACCTGAGTGGTGAGTTGCTGCCAGTCCTCAGCTTCTTTGTGGAGCGGGCTTCCCCAGCGGCACGGTGCCGTCCTCTGCTTTGTATGTGTACTGGCTGAGCGTGGATCAATGCTGACCCCGCCGTGATGGGGACTAGTCCCGGCTCACCCAGCTGTGCTGTCATATTGTCACCGCTCAGCATTGGAGGAGGCGTTGGACCCGCTTGTTGGGGGGGTCCCTGGAGTGGTGGGTTGGGGTTCGGGGTTGTTCTGGATGCGCTGGGTCATACTCGCCAGAGAACTTCCCCTGTGAAACTTTGATTGCTCTTATGGAGGCGCTGTGGGGAGTTGGGGAAATCCCGGAGCTGGGAGGAAAAGGTATTAGCGTTAAAATACACTTGGGAGGTTTGGGTGAAAATGCGTTGAAAACAAGAAAAGAAAGAAAGAACAGGAACTGTCCTGCTGGCGTTAGGCCCAGATTGTCATTTTGGGGGTGTCCCCGTGCCATGGGAGGCTTGGCTTTGTTAGCAGACTGGAAGCAGCCGTACAGGGCCAGGGTTTGTTCAGCGGAGGTGGCGGGGTTAGAAATGCTGTAGAGGTAGAAATGCTGTCGGTGCCACCTGTATTGCTGTGGAACGTCCACCGCTGGATGCGTTGGAGTTGGGGGGGCTGTAACTTAGGCTTGTAAAACCTCTCTGTGGATTGTTGAAGCAGTTTGGATACTTGATGGTCAAAGGAGAATAACCACGACCACTCTGACGTTGCCATGTGTAAGTTCTGTGCGGTAGTGGATGTATCAGGGCTGCCTTCTTGCTGGAGTTTCTTCTTAGAGAGGCTGGAACAGCTGCACCTCTCCGGTTCGTTGTGCAAGTGTAAGAAATCGGGATTAAACCAAGAAAAAGCTGAAGCACAAGCAAGTGGTAAATTCATGTGGCAGGGGAATGGGGAGAGTGGTGCGTGAGGGTGGATTTATTGGTGTGCTGGAACACTGCTGCCGCTTTCTCCTCTGGGCAATAGGTGTTCTGAGAGGGGAATCAAAATTTGTCAGGTTTCAGTGAATAGACATGGATTTTTATTTATTTATCTATTTTTTGTGCTTTTGAGTGATGGAGCATGTGGCTTGGCTTTTCCATTCGGTTTGCAGAACTCAGGCTATGTTAGTCAGGCTGGAACTAGATGATCTTAAGGGCCTTTCCAACCCTTACTATTCTATGCTTAGCTCTTTCCCCATATAAAAACATCTATGGTTACATTTATCTACAGTTCTGTGTGTTTTTCTTTGCATTGCTTAAATGCTGGTATGTATTTGGAACCCTTGTGCTTGCTTTTGTGCCATGAGACCTGGGGAATGTTTGTCTGTGGGAACCAGTGTGTGTGCAGATGACTGACAGGCATTTGGCATTGTAGTATTTGTGCCCAAGTGAGTGTGTGGTAGCACCAGCTGGACTTGTCTTCTGATGATAAGATGAAGCCTAAGAACCAGAAGTATACTTGTTCCATCAATATTAATATTTTTTCTTTTGCTAGCCACTCTGATACACATTTTCAACCAAATGACCCTTCATGAAGAAGGATGGTGCTTTGCAAACCTCTCTCTAACTGAATGCAGACAGAAGGAATATCTTTTCTTAAGATATATGAGACTTGCATCTGCTAAAAACTAAATGAGGTTGTGTTCTCAACAGAGAGAAAGTCTGTGGTGGAGGATTGATGCATCTTTCTGATTGCTTTGCTGAAACTTGATTCTCATAGTAAGTGTGGTGGTCAAGGTCGCTACTTGCCTTTTAGGTTGCAGAAGATGTCATGTGTTTGAGAACAAGAAATTTGTTGCTCTATAAGCTAACTATGCTTACATGTGCTTTCTTTTGGCATGAGGAATTCCTGCCCTGAACCATTAAGTTATAAATTTATGCAAGAATGAAAAAAAAAACAACCCACATGCTGGAATGTGGCATTTATCATAGCAGGAGCAGAGGGCTGGGGAGTGAGAGACAGGAAAGCCTCCTTTCAGGGATTAAGGGAGCTAAGAAGGTTCAACAGGTCATCCAGAACAGCATTTCTGCCAGTATTCTGCCCCCAGTATGCCTTTCGTCTTGATCAAGCTTAATCAGTCTGGTGCTGCATAGTGTAAAGGATGTATGCAAAGGGTAGAGAAAATGTGTATCATCTCCATATGTTGGCATGTGCCTGTGCTAGTAACACAGTCCTGATACAGACATACACAGCAGGTGTCTTACGCACTTTCCTCTTCATAACAACACACCTTTGTTTCACACAGAGAGGAGATAAGATGTTCATCAAAGAACAAGCTTCTGACTGTAGAAAATGAGAACTGCTTTCCCATCTTGCTGTGAAAGAGGAACTGATACGAGTTTGTTGGTGATAGAGTCTTCTGGTTTTATAACATCACCATCATGAGAGGTCAAGTCTGCATTAACCTATTTCCCCCTGGCTCTTGGTCAGGGAGCTAGATCTGTGTTGTAAATTACATAGTTATTGACAGCAAGAGCATTTCAGAAGTAGGAAACAAGTTTGGCTTTCTGTGGGCAAAGAAAGCATAGCATGATTGCCAACAACTGAAAGATAGATTAGCTTGTTTTACTGCTCAAACAAGTTATCTTGTTTATAACAAATGCACTTGTTTGCTTTATATAGATTAGCGTTAATTGAATTAGGGTTTTTCCTCTGCTGTTGGTTCTGAGCTCACGTTGTGGTTTCTATATGCAGGGTTTCCAGTGCTGCCTCTGAAATCTCTTGAGTTCAGAGAACTGAGATTTTAGAGGTTTTTCCCCACTAATACAGTGGCCACCAGATAGCGATTTCTCAATGTCATCTTTTTAAGTGAAGTGTGGCAAATTTGGATCAGATATGCATGCATAGAGGTCTAACCTGTAAAAATCCACTTGGGATCTTGTGTTTGTAATAAGTGTGTCCTGAGATTGCTCTCATCTGTGCTGCCCCCCTCCAACACGGTTAAAACCTTACGGGAGGAAGGAATTTTGCAAGCAGAGTTACCGTTGATGTAGAAAGTGTGATCGCACTTTTTCACTTGGGCAAGTATATGATGCTTCTGCAAACTTCAAATTATAAATCCTAAATATCCCCAGAGCTCAGTGACTTACATCCTGCAGGCACTGTTGACCTCAGCTGAACCTGCAGTCAAAGCATGCAAGTTGATCTTAAAAAATTCCAAGACTTCACCCTTTGCCAAAACTCTTTATCTAACGTTAGCATTGCACAGCAAAGGTTGTGGAGGCTAGGGATGGGCTTATCACATGGATAAAGGGAGTATAATATTTATTTCAGTTTTTTATTGTAGTAAGCAGTTGGGGCAATAAAAGTATTGCTCCATACCTTCCCTACAGCTCCTCAGTCTGTTGTGCTGCCACTGCCTGTGGTCCTGGCTGAACATAAAGCATTCTGGTGTGGACAGCAGCAAAGCCAGATCCTGGCTGCAGTGTTGTAGCAGGACTCATCTCAACCTCGGGGATGCTGCTGGCAGAACAAAGAAAGGAGAGAGTGGAGGTGAACTGCACGTGAAGGCTGCTCTCTGCTGTTTGGAAGCTGTTTCCCACAGGACTCTGACTGAACTCAAGCTCCAATTCACATTCTTTGTTAAGCATACCTCCTGATTAATAAAACAAATTTGTCTACTCTTTGGAGATTGCCTTGTAAAAATCATCTGCAATTTTTATTTCTCAGCAGGTTTATAGAATGTGTAAGCTATTGCTTACCTACAGGAGCAGAGCATGGAGTTGGGGAATACCTTTCTTCAGTGGTGTGTGTGAGGGCTTGGCGCTTTCAAGTTAATTCCTCCCACACACCCTGCTGAAATTCAGTTCAGTTCAGATACTCAGCTTAGGCACGCCTCACATGGGATCACTGGCCACAGACAGGATTGCCACTAACTCTGGAAGAGGTTGTACGTATCAGCTCTTGGCTTGGGGATCAAAGGCAGCTTTGTCATTAGAAAGAAAAATGCTGACTGCCTCCACTGACTTGCCTGATATTCATTATGTGCTCTGTGAAATGGCTTTGATCATTTTTCTTCGCAAAGCTAAGATTTTCTTTGTATTTAAACATTTGCTTCCTCAATTGTGCCGAGTAACACTATCATATCGTTCCTCAAGGTATGACACATTTGTGTTCATGTAATCACTAGTGACACTGCATCACACCACATACCATAGTTAGCTCTCCCCATCTTCCTGTATGTGATCATCCCCTCATTTGTTGTGGTCTGAATTCTTTTCAGTTTATTTGAAGATGCCCAGAGCCAGCACCAAGCAGTAAATTTCAGCATTCACATAAAACTTTACATTACTCTTGTTTCTAATGATCTGGAATTCCTTAAAAAACTTGGGGGTACAGCTCAAGAAAATGTGAAAAAGCATTAGGTTTTATAGCTTGAATTGGATGTACATGATACTGCTTATAATAGCTCTTTCTTTTGGGAGTTCAGATAAAGAAATCTGACTTTTTTTAGGATGGGAAACACGTGAACTTTCAGTTGATACCAAGCTCTGGAAATAAGGTCCTGTGTTCTCAGAGATGAAGGAAGTAACTGAAAACTTCATACTTAGATAAACATCTGGTTCAAAAATGCTTTTGTTTATAATGTTTTTCCTTCTTTTTAGTCTCTGGGTATAGTCTAAGTTCTGCTGGTATAAAATTAGAAGTCTGGCTTTTGTGGAGGTGGATCTTAAGAGGTTTCTGTTGCCTTCAGGGCAGTGGTCTGCCCAGTATTGTTGACTGCTTTCAGAGACTGGGTGTTGGTTTAGATGGATGATCAAGTCTCACCCAGTTCTGGCTACACTTTTCACCCCAGATGCTTTAGGCACTGGTTAGTTCATTCTCTTCAGATTTTGCGTAATTATGTTTGTGTGCTTTGACCTTCTCACTCTTGTTTCTCTTTCCTTCCCCACATCTTCCTCAAGCAATCTTGCTTTTGTCATACCTTTTTGGAATTTAATAATGTGCTTGCAGCAGAAAAGTGTGGTGAGGCTGCAGGAATGGAAATCAGTGTCCCCT